CCTGACCCATTTTGTTCTGCCTTAGAAAAGTGGGTATTCCAAAGTTATTTAAGAGGCATATTTAGTAAATGCCTATTGGATTTTTTAAAAGAGCAGTGTTCACCATCTATATGAACAGTACAAAGTTTAAAACTGTCATCTAACTTGAGTATCTAAATACTTGCTATTGTAACTTCTGAGAATCTTGGGCTTTGTTACCCTACCACAGCTTTTCAAATGTCAGGATGTTCATCTTATGTTAGGGAACATTTGACTTTTACTGGAAGTGAGAGACAATGTTTATTCTAGACCAGGTAGAAAGGAAGGGCAGAACTTTAGGGGCAGTGAGATATGATGCGTGGGGTACACAGAATGATAGTGACGAATAAATCCCAACTCACTGACTATAAGCAATAGCTGACTTCTCAATAGCAAACTAAAGATTATGACTTCCACCTAGAAGAGTTACCTGGAGAACAAGGAGATTATTTATTAATATAGGTCTTCAACACAGGGGCTCATTGTTTTTATATTATTGTTATTGTTATTGTTATATTTTTCCTGCTTTTAGAATGCCTCTATTTTAATTTATTTTTTTCTGCAAATTCACTTATTTGCCAGAAAACTGCATGGCTGAATAGACTAGGTAGCTTTGAATAGAAATTTAGTTCAATACATGATTTTTTTTAAGATACAGTATTTGAGAGGTGGTAAGTACAAATATTACCACAAGACTGGCCTTCTTTCTTTCTTTTCTAGATTAGATTTATTTGACTAAAGGCATACTAACTTTCGGTGTAAAAATGAGGGTTTTTTTTCTACTTTTCTACTCCTTTTTGACAAGCAGAAGAGGAAAGCTGTCTTAGTTGCTCTTCCTGTTGTTGTAAAATACTCAGGCAAAAGCAACTTCTGGCAGAAAGGACTTATTTCAGCCCTTAGCTCCAGGCTACAATCCATAATGGTGGAAAAGTTCTGATAGCAGAAGCTTATGGCCACTGGTCATATTGCATTTCTAGTTAGGAAACAGAGGATAATGAATGCTCATCCTTAGGAGCCTTTCTCTTTTTTTTGCATTCTGGGACCCAATCCACTTTTAGAATGAATCTTTCTACCTTAAATAACCTATTCAAGATAATCCCTCATAGGTGTGCTTCAAGTCTTGCCTCCTAGATGATTCCAGATCCTGTAAAGCTGGCAATCAACAATAGCCATCACAGAACCAAAGTTCAACTCTGTTTAAAATATTTTCTTAGGGGTAGAAGGTAAAACTTACTGGTTGGACTAGGGACATAGTAAAATGAGAAAACCTTAATTAAATAAAACCCTTAGATTTGTAAACTACAGTAGAGTATCCATGGTTGAAAATTATATTACTTCTATTCAGTCCAGAATCCCAATAATCTTCAAATTTAGAACTTCTATTTTTATTACAGTAATAGAAGTGGAGAGGTGGTAGGGAAGTGCATTAACTGACATGCATAAGAGCTAGGTAAGTATTAATAGTTTTAGCTTGGCCTGCTGAATTGAATCAACAATTCCTTAGGGAATCACTATTAGCAGCTAAAGCTCTAAGAAAACTATTTTAAAATGTAGCTTTCAGTTAATTTGTCTCCTATCAAATGTGACTGCTGCCAAGATCTGCTCATACAGAGTCTAAACTTTTGAGGTCTAGAATGAACATGTAAAGAAAGGCATTTCCTCCCAAGTGTAGTGGTGCACACCTGTAGTCACAGCGTTCAGAAGGCTGAAAGAGAGTTAGAGGCCAGCCTGGACTGGATGACCTACCGAATGCCTGTCTTCAAAAAAAATCAAAAATCAAAAATCAAACAAGCAGTATCCCTATTGAAGAAAAGAGGGGACAAAGAGAAAATACTTGTTGTTTTTTTTTCCAGTGAACCCTGGTAATTAGTGTTTTTAATCTTTTCCTCCTCCAAGTGCCTAATTCCAAATTTTAGTCTGTATATTTATTGAGCATTCATCAGATATTTATTAAATATGTACAACAAACCAGGCATTTACTTGTTTTACATTTCTGAGGTTACCAAGTTGGATACATACAATCCTTGAACTGAAATGCCCATTTAACAAGGTGTACAACGTTAAAACAACCTGTTACAGAGCATGGTCCCTGTACTTGTGATAGGTCTTGAAAATAGGAAATTACATGATAAACTTTTGTTTCAGGAATTTTATAATCTAATGAGAAAACGCTTAACACATTGAAAGAATATAGAACAAATTACACTTGGGATTAAAATGTAAATATGGGGAACAACAAGATCTCTGTGGACCAGCTAGGAAAAGTTTCATTGGAAAAAGAGCCTGGAAAGCAGGGAACATTTTAGAGGTAAAAATGAACAAAGAAAGTTTACAGAAGAAATACTGTGCCAAAAGTTACTTGAGGAAAATTTTACAGAAATTAGTGACAAGTCAGACATAAATGAATGATTGTAAGAACATGGAGCAGAAAAATTAAATGCTGTCAAAGTTTTATCTGATTCAGCTATTCTAAAATGTTGTGCTCTGTGCCATGTGTTGCAGTCAGCAGTCACTTTGATTACTTCTGTGACAGTGGATAGAAATCATCAGTCAGTGATTTCCCCAGACATGCCTGGAATTGGGCTTCAGATCCCCTGGGGCTAGAATTATGGATGGTTGTGAGCCACAGCATGGGTCCTAGGAATTGAACTTGGGTCCTCTGCAAGAGCAATAAATGTTCTTAACCACTGAGCCAACTCTCCAGCACATTACTTTGTGCATTTCTGTCCCAACTAGCTGCAATTTTCCTAAATTCCATGTCATGATTTCTCCAGGAGCCATGGAAGCTCCTGCTTAACCCCCCTTCCTGCTTCTTGCCATGGGCATACCCCAGGCCCAACTTGGTTTCCCAATGCTTGTAATAGTCAGATATAAGAAGCAACCTAAATTCCATCAAGAGAATTAAATAAGAGATGGTACATTTGAATAATGCCATGGTATGTTGCTATGAAACAATTATTTGAGGGCTAGAGATGTAGTTCAGTGGTCGAGTGTTTTGCCAGGCATATATCATGCTTTGGGTTTAAATCCTCAGAACTGAAAAACAAACCTGTATACTGATATGGACCTTCTTTACTAGATATTTATGTAGATGACAACCACAAGCACATCTATCTTCCTTTTGTCCTTTCAGTTCACTGTTAGCCCTGCTCCTCCTGTGTGGTGGGAGGCTGTCTTATATGGATCACAGAAGTGAATGTCCTCCTGTGTGTAGTGGGAGGCTGTCTTATATGGATCACAGCAATGACTGTCCTCCTGTGTATGGTGGAAGGCTGTCTTATATGGATCACAGCAGTGAATGTCCTCCTGTGTGTGGTGGGAGGCTGTCTTATATAGATCACAGCAATGACTGTCCTTCTGTGTATGGTGGAAGGCTGTTTGCATGGGACACAACAATGAATGTTCTTGCCCTTTGGTTTCTGTTTTGATTCATTCAACAGGAGTCCCTAATTAAAACAAAAAATAAGCTGGGTGTGGTAGCACATGCCTTTAATCCCAGTACTTAGGAGGTAGAGGTAGGAGGATCTCTGTGTGTTTGAGGCCTGCCTGGTCTACATAGTGAATTCCAGGACAGCCAGGACAGCCAGGACTACACAGAGAGACACTGTCTCAAAACAAAAACAAAAATTAAAAACTTTTAAAAGAAAATAGCCAAAAGTTTTATGTTTTAATGATTGGGGAGAATTGTTATTATTGTTATAATCTAAGAAAAGAAAATAAATAGAAATTGATGGGATACTAAGTAAAAATTTTAAGTCTTTTATTTTTACTTTGTGGGGGTGGTTGGTTAGCAACCTAGAATTTTTGTAGTATTTAATTGCAGGAGCTGGAGAGATGGCTCTGTGCTTAAGAGTGCTTGCTGCTCTTACAGAGGACTAGAGTTCAGTTGCTAGTACCTATGTCTGGCAACTCACAATTGTCTGTAACTTTAGCTGCAGGGCATCCAGTGCCTTCTTCTGGCTTCTATGGGTACCCACAAACATGTGCATATACATATACCCAGACACACAAACACATAAATAAAAATAAAATCTTAACAATTTAGTGTGAAATGCATCAGACATCCCCATTCTAGTCATAATTACTTAATTGTGAATTCTATCCCCATTCTAGTCATAATTACTTAATTGTGAATTCTATCTTACTTATCAGAACTATGATTTAAATACATTGTAGGCTCAAAATAGAGAATTATATCAAGTTCCTAATCTAGAAATAAGTGTGAACTGATTCATTTATCAAAATCTTTGTTTGTTTTGGGGGGGGCAGTTGTATTGGTTTTCGAGACAGGATTTTCCTGTGTAACAGCCCTGGCTGTCCTGGAACTAGCTTTGTAGACCAGGCTGGTCACAGAGATCCGCCTGCTTCTACCTCACAAGTGCTGGGAATAAAGGCATGTGCCATGCCACTATGTCTGTCTCATTTATCAAGATCTTAATCTTCACATTTGTGGCCCAGAAGATAGGTAAAGGCTGGCTTATTTTCTCCAATTGGAACAGATGCCTGTAGAGCTTTGGGATAATCTTGAAATGAGATACAGCAGTGGTACAAGTTCTAAGTCCCAATGTTCAGTAGAGAAAGGTTTTACACTGGGAACTTCTATTCTCCATTCTTTTTTTTTTTTATTTCATGTACTTTAATCTAAAGCATAGAGGATGGAATTGTCATAAAGTATTGTTATCAATACTATTAGCTGGAATATATCCATCAGTTTCCTAGTTTTGGAAGCTGGGGTAAAGGGATTATAACTTGAGGCAGGCCTGAGCTACGTAGTGAGGTACAGGCCAGACTGAGCTACAAAGTGAGACCAGAGTTCCAGAAAACAAAACCAACCAAACAAACAAAAATCCTGAAAAAAAATCCCTTTTGTGCCTCTGCGAAGTAGAATCTAGTAGAAACTCTTGGCTGTGTCCAGATAATCTATGGAGCATTAGACAATATAGTTTTCTAAATCACTGAACTTTTGTTCATTTTATTTGCAGTTCTGGGAATTGCCAGTGCAGAGTGGGTGTCACTGGCTCCATGTGTGACCGATGCCAAGATGGACATTATGGCTTTAATAAGACAGGCTGCTTGCCCTGCCAGTGCAACAACCGATCCAATAGTTGTGATGTTATCACAGGTATGTAGTTTCCTTAATTGAGTATGACATTATTCTTTGTTTGATCTTGAAGTCTTTATATATTGATTCTTTTCAAACATTTTATAATACCTTCTTCTTTTAGATAGATACAATAAGGCATATGGCAAGCCAAGCTTTTATAACAACTTAAAAATATTTCATGACTTTGAAAAATCATATTGATTGAAGAGCTGTATAAGTATGGAGAACAACACAAAGTGAAGACTGGGAAAATGTGTTAAAATTCTTCCAGGCAAGCTATGATCACTTGGGAAATCCTGTGTGAAAGAACTAATGCTCCATGAGACTTGAAAAAGGGTCAAGTAGATCCAGAATTGCAGAGTGCAATTGACTGGGGTCTTACTTACACAAGCATGGTCAAGGGTGGTAGCAAGATTGGCCAGTCCTCACAACTTGGATCAGCAAGTAGAGAATTATGTGGTGTTAAGGACAAAGGTGACTTTCATTAAACCTAGAATATAGTTAGTTTAGCTCAAGCTAATATCAAAGATGCCAGGTGATATCCTGGTGATATTGAACAGGTTCTAGTAGTCAAGTTTCATTTACCATACCACTCTTTTTTTTTTTAATCTGCAGTGTACAGGGAAACTATATAAGGAAAGGGCGTACAGTTACTTAGGCATAGTCATGAAAGTTATGGCTCATGATGTCTACAGTTAAGTCAGGCTGCATCTGTACAGCACATGCTATCTTTCCAGGGAAGATTTGTCTGTTCTGAGCACAGGCTAGGAGTAAGGGTTGGCCCAAGGAAAGGATTTGTACTTGAGAAAGAGCTTTTGACAGCCATTTGGAGCCTGCAGGGTAGTTGGAAACTAGAAGAGCCCTAAACAGAAGACCAGTTTTCCCAAAGCTAACTATGAAGGAAATAGATGGCCAGGCCAGAAAATTTTTTATGCTGAGGAGACAAAATCCTTTTAGAGAGAAGAGGGCTTGTTAAAACATACAGCCAGCTCTTTCTAAATCTATTGCCAAATTCTAAAGATGCATGGAATGGGTCTGAATATTTGAACCCCCAATGGCCAGTGCTGACTCTCTCAAAGTCTTTCAGAGCTGAGGAGACAAAGGTCTCCCAGATTCCTAATCCAAAAGGTCATGCCAAGAAATAGTGAAGAACTAGAGTGGTTACGAAAATTGCAACCCATATGCAACCCACTTCCATGCCTGACTGAATTGAGATCATCATTTTCTCATATTTGCCTAATACAGGAAAAGAGGACACTCTGGTTCTTTTATATATCAGGTATAACATACACTAAATAACAGAGACTACAAAAATGGAGAAATGTGACCAGTAATAAAACTATAAGCAATGGAGTCTGCATTGCAAGTAATACTGCTATTAGAGTTAACATTGAAACTTTAAAATAATTAAAATTAGTATATTGTGGAATTAGAGGGAAAATCAGACAAAATGGGTAAAAAGAGATAAAATATTACTAGAGAATAGCACTGCACTGTACTACAGACATGCACACACATGAGTGGGATGGAGATCATGAGGACTAGGGAGACAGCTCAGTTAGTAAAGTGTTTGCTGTGCCAGCATGTGGACCTGAGTTCTACCAGAACCCATGTGGAAATGCTGTGAATGGTTTTATATGTATGGGTGCTTTGTCTGCATGCATGTCTGTGCACCACATGTGTGCAGTGTCTGTGGAAGTCAGAGGAGGGCATCTGATCCCCTATAACTGGAGTTACAAACAGTTGTGAGCTATTGCCATGTGAGTACTCAGAATTAAATGTGGGTCCTCTGGAAAAGCAGCCAGTACTCTTAAACACTGAGTCATCCATGTCTCCAGCCCCAGTGGCATGCAGTTGTAATGCTGCATGGAGACAGAGACAGGAGGATTCCTGGTACTTGCTGGTCATCCTGTCTACCCTAATTAGAGAACTGCAGGTCACTGAGAGACTCTTGTGTCAAAGAAAGTGGACAGCATTCCTAAGGATGACACTTGAGATTGTCCTCTGGCTTACACTTGTGCACACAAATATGTGTACTTGCATGCATATTGAGCCTGCTCACACATACACATGCATTAAAAAGAAGCAATCTAGAACTGAAAATTAATGATATTTTAAATTAATAACGTATGGCATAAGCTTAAGAGCAGACTTTACCCAGTGAAGGCAAAGTTAGAACTAAATAGAATCCAATAAAAACTAAACATAAACATTTTGATAAAATGTAGTAGAAGAAAAGGCAGGAGAGACAAGTAGGTCACAGCCAGAGTCTAATGTAAATGTAAGGGAGGCTCAGGGAGTTATGGCCAGGAATTTTCTAAATGATTAATAAAAAAATAAAGTCAACCTACAGGTCAGAAAGCTCAGCAAATGCCCTCCCTATAACAGAGAAAACCACACCTAAGCAAACTCAATCAAATTGTCACAAATTCCCTAAATGTAAGATTAGAGGAACTTCTTGGGAAAATTTTTAACACCAACAGAAAAAAAAAATCAGGACATATGAGGTTGATAGGTCAAGAGTTTTTAATGAGAACAGAGTATCAGAATATTTGAAACTGAGTGAATTCCGAGAAGAACCTGTGCTAGAAGCTTATACTTTATGCTAATCCTCTGCTCTCCAGTGAAGTGTTTGCAGAGAAATCTATTTAGAAGACATTGTGTTATATTTTCTATATTATCTGGCTGTACCTACTTGTGTACTATATTGCCTACTGTTCTTTTTCTTTATTGTTATATGTGGGATCCCAGCCTCTCTTCCCTGTCCCAAAGTTATCATTCGTTATCTTTCTCCTGCCAAGAATGGCCTTTCTAACCCACCTCCACCCACACTGCAGACCCCTTTGTCTTATTAAGTCATATTCTTCTTTAGACCCTGACTTCATTAGCATTTTCTGATGTTCCTCACTAAATACAAAGTCCTCTGCTATACACTAGCATGTGCATTTGTAATTTTTCAGAGCACTTGTCACAATTGATGTTTACATGTTTACTTGTGACTATTACTCACATGGCCTTACTCTCTACGTGATAAGTTCTATCAGGGCAAGAACAGCATCAGCTTCATCCCCATTGTTTATACAATCTCTAGCACACATATTGGCACATACTCATTTAATCTTTATTGGATAAATACACAAACTAATGGAAAAACATGAAAAAGAACATCAAGGTTCAACATTAGATAACAAAAAGAATGCTTCATAGTGCAGAATTATTAGTTACTCTCTGGGTCTTTTACAGTACCAGAAAGCCATGTACAAGATTCTTTTTCTTCCTAATAATGAAGCAGCTCTCACACTGACCTGCACATGCTGTAGAGATAGAGTAAAATAAATACTTTGAATAATTCTGGTGTTTGAAAGAAACAAATGATTTACCATATGAAAAATAAAATAAAGTGGAACCCAATATAAAGGAGTGAACCTGACTTAGAGCAGCCAGTTAGTTCATGTACAACTTTTGTCACAAACGAGTTTTCAGTGCTGTGATATGGTTGCCCTCTGGTGGCCACTTTGCATGTTTGCACAGTTCTTCCCACTATTTCTGGAATTTCTGTTTTAGATTGATTTAGATTTTCCAAAGTTCCATTTTTGTAGTAAAAATATATTGGTGAAAATATCATATGGAAAATTTTGAGAATAGGTATAAAAATGATCTTAAAAATATTTGACCCAGAAATCCTATACCTTCTGAGAAAATAATTTTAAATTCATAAAAAGGTTTATGTTAAAAAAAAGAAAATGCAGCTGGGTGGTGGCGGACACCTTTAATCCTGGCAGTTGGGAGGCAGAGCCAGGTAGATATCTGTGAGTTCTAGACCAGCCTGGTCTACAGAGCGAGATCCAGGACAGGCACTAAAAGCTACACAAAGAAACCCTATCTCGGGGGGGAAAAAAAAGGAAAGAAAGAAAAGAAAAAGAAAAAGCTCATCAGATGATAGTTATGATCCTGAAAAACCCCAAAAACCTAGATACCCAAATTTATAACAATAGGTAATTAATACTGTTACCTAGAGAATATATGGTTAGGAACCCAGAAAATCAAAACCACCTAGTAGGATGTTGTAAAATTAAATACATTTGTACATCTACAGTGTCTTGATCATCATAATCAGCCAAGAAATGGTACCTATTAGACTGTTTTCATTGCAGTTCTTTCATGAATGACATGTAGCTACACAACAATGTAAATAGTCGGGCTATAAAATGACAAGTACCATATAATTAGACTGTTTCAATGACAAAACCTAGATCTCTATAAATAAGGAAAGATTTCAAGGAATGTGTCTCAAATGTTAATAAAGCTGTTCAGGACACTTTCCTTGTTCTTTTACTTGTTTTCTATATTTTCTTTCCTTATCACATTTTTCTCGAAAGAAAATGTAAGAGGGTTAATTATTTTTTAACTACAAACTTTTCCTTCAGATAGTAGACTTGCTTTGAAGAACTCAAGGTTCTTGTGTGTACTTGTAGGGTCCCATGCCAGAGAGACTCCAGCAGCCTGACTCTCTGACTGCCTTGACTGCTCAGGAGCCACTTTGGTCCAGGATGCCACATCTCCTGGCTTTCTTCCTGTGGATGCTATTCCTTCTCTGTCAGCTGTGCCCCATCTCCCTTAGTCAGCCCTACATTAGTGCCTTAGAGCTGGGAACTTAGTGCATTTGTCTGCTCCACTTGTACTTTTCCTCTGAGTGATCTCACTGAGGCCCCAGACTTAGCTTAAATACCCTCAGTGTGTGTGCTGTTGTCAGATTTGCGTCTCCCTTGATCTCCATGCTCAAACATCTAGGCGCCATCCTTCAGTTTGCTTTTCAATAGTGCTGCCTTTAGGATGCTTGTTTGTGTACATAGATAGTTCATCATTTGACTACAAAATCCAAACTATGAAAGTGCCACAAATTGTTTGCTCTCTATTAACATATATTATCTTATTTTTTTTCTTTGTACAAAGTTAGTGTGTTTTAGTGTGTAGCCAGTTAACTAATAATGGCATGTTGTGACTATAATCACATTCCCAGCTTTTTTCTCATATGAGACATTGAATTCAAAGACAAGGCTAGTTAAAAAACAAATCAGGAGGGGTTGGAAAGATGGCTCAACAGTTAAAAGCACTTGTTTCTTACAGAGGCCCCAGGTTGAGCTCCCAGCACCTTCTCTGGGCAGCTCACAACCACCTGTAACTCCAGTTCAAAGCGCTCCAATTCCCTCCTCTGTACTCTGGGGGCACTTGCACATACATGGTGCACAGAAACATGGGTAGGCACACACACACATACACATAAACAACTATTTTTTTTAAGTTAGATGTATTTATTTTATTGTTTTATGTGTATGAGTATTTTGCCTGCATGTATACATGTGTGCCTAGTGCCCATGGAGGTCAGAAGAGGGTCTCCATCCTTAAATCAATCTCTCTCTCTCTCTCTCTCTCTCTCTCTCTCTCTCTCTCTCTCTCTCTCTCTCTCTCTCTCTCTCTCTTTAAATAACAAAATAGAAACCAAACACTACTCCTGATATTATTTTTTTTCTGTATAATTTTATGGTCTTCTTGTTGTGGGCAGGATTTCTGAAAGTTCCTTAACTCTGAAACAATAATTTGATTCTTTTAGGTGCTTGTTTAAACTGCCAGGAAAATAGCAAAGGGGATCACTGTGAAGAATGCAAAGAAGGATTTTATCAGAGTCCTGATGCTACTAAAGAATGCCGCCGCTGCCCTTGCTCAGCAGTGACCTCTACAGGCAATTGCACCATAGGTAAGGGCTTTTTTTCTGGGTCTTCCCTTCCTTCAGTAAAGTACACTACATTTATAAATTAGGTTCTGGAGGATGTAAGTGAAAGTGAGGTATAAAAATCACAGAAGTTTTCCTTTCTACAAATTTACAATCAAATCCTAATATATATATATGAAATGATACCTCAGATGTCCTAATAGCCAACCCTGTGTATGTGTATAGCTTCTTTCATGTAACATATTCGAAGTTCACCTATATTGTAATATATATATCAGTAATGCATACTTTTCGTTGTTGAATTATATAGATGCCACACTTTATTTATTCTTCCCTGAATTCGTGGACATTGAGCAGTTACATTTAGCTGCTATGAACATTTATGTTCATGTGTGCATAGTGCATATAAATTTTGCCAGTACACCCTCAAGTCAGTGATTGTTGGATGTTTTCTTCACTACTGGAGATTAAACCCAGGAATTCATTCATGTTTGCTGACCAAGCACTCTGCCTCTGAGCTGCTTCCCTCAGTAGTTGCATGTGCAAGTGTTTTAATTTCTCTGGGGGTATATAACTAGGAATGAAATTGCTATGTCATAAGCCAGCTCTGTTTAACTCTGTGAGGAAGTGTCAGATAACATTTTATGTTATCATTTTGTGTAGGGTGGTACAGGTGCAGTGTACATCATATGTCTTCCGTCTCACTCCACACTATTTTTTTAAGATTTATTTTTTATTTTTAATTTGTGTGTGTGTGTGTGTGTGTGTGTGTGTGTGTGTGTGTGTGTAGTATTACGTGCATGTGAGTATATTGCCTGTAGAGGCCCAAAGAGGGTGTCCAATTCCCTGGGTCCCCAGAGGTGGAGTTGCAGGCCTTTGTGAGCTGCCCTGCATGGGTGCTGAGAACTGAACTCTGTAAGATCAATGCTTGCTCTTAACACTGAGCTTTTTCTCTAACCTCCTCCCCTTTTGGGGGGGAGGTAAGATTTCTTAGCCTGAAACTCATTGATTTGGGTTGACTAACTAGCCAGCTCCAGGGATCCACCTGTCTTGACCTTCCCAACAGAGATGTGTGTATTACCAGGCCAGTGTTTTCCACATGGGTTCTGGGGCTCTGAACTCAGGGCCTCATGCTTGCACAGCAAGCACTTTACTGATTGCGCTGTTTCTCTATCCCCTACTTATAATTTTAACAAGAATATATGAGGATTCTAAATTGTCCACAGCTTCAACAACACTCAATGTCTATATTTTTTTATTCTTACAGCCATCCTAATAAATGTTAAATGGTATTGCATTGTGGTTTTAATTTGCCTGTCTCTGATGGCTAATTATATGTTTAATGATCACTTTTGTATTTCTTTTGAGCAAATACCTATTTAGGTTTTTTGTTCATCTTAAAATTGTAGTTTTTTTATCATTGTATTGATAGAGATATAGATACAAATCCCTTATCGGATACATGATTTGTAAGAAATGAGGGTATAGCTCCATGGGAGAGCTCTTGCCTAGCAAGTAGTAGGTCCTAGGTTTGCTCTCTAGCATCATAAAATATTTGAATAAAAAAAGGCTTTAAAAATAATTTGTAAATATCTTCACTTATCCCATGGATCAGTTTTTCACTTTCTTGATGTCCTTTGATTGATTGATTTCTGAGGCATTCAGTTTAATTTTCTTTCATTGTTTATGTTGGCTTGGAATTTCTCATGAGACTGCAGTCAAAATGTTAGTCAGGGCTGTAGTCAGTAGTCTGAAGGCTTAATTGGGACTGTAGAATCTGCTTTCAATATGGCTTACTCATGTGTCTTGCAAGGGGCAAAAAGATTCTGTTTGTCACCATGCAAACTTCATTAAGCTTCTTAATATCCTTGAAACATGGCAGCTGGGTCCCCTTGAAGCGAGTGATCCAAAAGAGGGCAAAATAGAAGCTGCAGTATATTCTATCATTTAGTTTCTAAAGCCATAAAGATGTTTCCAAGGCCACATTACTTACTCACACCTATTTTGTCACGTACGAACATGTGATTTCCAGGAGTAGAGAGCATTTGACTAAATCTGGAAAGTCAGTTGCTATACCTAGTAATAGGAATAGGTACTTTCCTCTTTTCATAGAAAGGTCTGAAAACTTCTTTCATGTATTTTACAAATAGTAATTAAGCACCTAGAACATGCTTGTCATTGTGATAGATAAGGAATACAAAAGTCTAAAAACTAAAATATGGTCTTTGTTCTAAAGGAGTATTCAGTGTCATAGAGAGGAAAATACACAAAGCAAATAAATTTATGGGTATGAATTTGCAGGACATGAAGAAGGTGTCATTGTCCATTGTCCCTGGGACTGGATTTATTTTCCTCTAATTTTTCCTAAAAGAGATGATACTTTTACATAGCATCCTTTGTTGTTTATCACTGTATGTGTTTGTATATTAAACATTTGGTATGTTAGGACTATCATTGAGTCAGAAAATTGTATATTAATATTGAAATTTGCATCAGCAATATCAGAATTCCAGATCATAGATATTGACATGCTGTTAGTTACAATTTAAGATATAAGACCTTTATAGGATTTGTAAATAAGAACTTCGGCTGTATAAGTTATTGGCTCATCTTGAGTAACTTTTTTTTAACATAGGGCTTTACTTAAGGTATTGCTTTTTAATTGTTTAATTGAGTGACTGAATTCACTTCCATATGATGAATTTAAAATGTAGAATTTCTCTGTGGAAAGAAAATCCCTATGAAAAGTAATGTTCTTGAAATCTGTTGTTCTTATATGTCTTTTCTAAACACTATACTCCGCAAGAGTAGAGATGATGTCTATATTTTTAGTCATTTAATACCCAGTGTATTGTTAATGCCAATAATACATGTTGAATAAGTGGAAAAGGATATATCCATAACTCAGGGTAGAGAATGGTTAGATATGTAAAACTGGAGTTAGCAGAGCTTTGGGGAGACTTTATATTTCCTACTGGGAAGTACAGAAAAGTTACTACGGAACAAGCTATGTTTAAACAGGGCCTTGAAAAGTAAGGAATGGGACACTTAGAAATTTATTTACATAAAGGTGGTAGATCACAGCCAGAGACTGAATTGGGTTGGGAGCAATCCAACTAAGCATGCATGTGCCTATAGGGGTAGCAAGTTCTAAGTCAATTAAATTTGATACTTTCAGAGAGTGTAGTTGGTTTTTCTTACTCTTTAGTCTTTCGGGGGGCCGCTACCCAGCTCCCAAATAATCACACAGAAGCTTATTCTTTCTTATGAATGCCCAGCCTTAGCTTGCCTTGTTTCTAGCCAACTTTTCTTAACTTAGATTATCCCATCTACCTTTTACCTCTGGGCTTTTATCTTTTTCAATTCTATATACCTTTCTTTACTTCTTACTCTGTGGCTTGCTGTATAGCTGGGTGGCTGGTCCCTGGAGTCCTCCTCTTCTTCTCCTTTCTCCTTGCGCCTCGATCTTCTCTTTCTCTACTTCTACTTATTCTCCCTGCCTTCCAGCCCCACCTATTTCTTGCTCCTGCCTAGCTATTGGCCATTCAGCTCTTTATTAGACCAATCAGGTGTTTTAAGCAGGCAAAGTAACACAGCTTCACAGAGTTAAACAAATGCAACATAAAAGAGTGCAACACATCTTTGCATCATTACATGAATATTCCACAGCATAAATAAATGTAACACAACTTCAACTAGGATTCCACAAGAAATTGCTGTGTCTAATCTACAAACAACATACAAATAAGTTCAGTATAGTGATTCAGTCTATATACAGTGGATGCACTAATAGGGTGTCTTAGTTAGGGTTTCTATTACTGTGATAAAACACCACTACCAAAAGCAACTTGGAGAGGAAAGGTTTGTTTCATCTCAAAATTCCAGGTAACAGTCCATCTCTGAGCAAAGTTGGGGGGCACTCAATACTCCTGCTGCTCTCAGGATGAGAAAAATCTGGGGTTTTAGGCATGCTTCAGCCCCTTCTTATTTTCAGGCCAGCCCCTCAACTGAACATACAGTATCTCTAATCCAGAGAATCAAGTACAACCTTTTGTGCTTCTGAGAAGTGATACGTGAGTTAATTTCTGCAGTTAAAATTTACAAAGTGATTAGGGGTAAGGAGACAAGAGTATTGCTGTGGGATGGTCTTTCTGTGTGCTGTGAATATGTGTTGCTACCATTGGTTAATAAAGAAGCTGCCTTGGCCTATGGAAAGACAGTTAATAGCCAGGTGGGAAATCCAAGCAAAGATACATGGAGAAGAAAGGTGGAGTTGGGAGAGATACTGCAAGCCAGGGGAGCAAGATATAATAGAACACAGATAAAGCCACGAGACATATGGCAATATGTAGATTAATAGAAATGGGTTAATTTAAGATGTAATAGCTAGTTAGTAATAATCCTGAGCAATAGGCCAAATGGTTTGTAGTTAATATTAAGCCTCTGAGTGATTATTTATAAGTGACAGTGGGACCAAGTGGGGCGCAGAAAAACCTCCGGCTACAGAGTATGTTGTGTGTTGATGAAACAGTATATATAACATTTCAGAGAGAGGAAAACAGGCAATCTTTGGGAGTACTCCTAAGCCATCTGTTAAGCTTGAAACAAAGTAGATGATGAAGTGGGAAGATAAATGATAAGAGCTAGGAAAAGTAGGCAAGGCTTAGATGCTTTTCAGCAGAAAATTCTATTAAGTTTTCACTTAGTCTGGCAGCTCATTAGAATTGAAGCAACTTCTCTAGGGTGTTAATATGTGTACTCAGATTCACTGTGAAAATTATAGAGACTGTAGGAGTGTACTTCAGTAAAGAGCCTTAGGAAGTATTGCGAGTGGTGGAGGTAAGAAATGATGACAGCCTTAACCCAGAGCCTGGCACTGGAGTAGAGTCACACTAGTATAGAATCTGCTAAAGTGTCACTGAAATGAATTGCTAACTGCTCAAAAGTGGGAATGAGATGGAGTACTGAGAGTTGGTTCTCAAGTTTGGGACCTAGGCAGGTGGATGGATGTTGGGACCGTTGACTAAGATGTTGAGGACAGTCATCTATGGTAAATTTGAAATGTTTGTAGTCGCAGGTATACAGGCAGTTTTATATCATATACAGTTTGCAATTTAAGACAGGAAAATGGAGTGGAGATACACATTTTCCATTGTTAACTGTACAAGTGAGTGAACTCACCCGTGGACAAATGGCTAGAGTGAAAGGTGAAAGAAATCAAGCATGGAAATCTAGGAGTAATGGTCCTGGGTATAGCTCACATTGTGGGAGAGGCCTTGTATTAATACCTAGTACTACACAAAACAAAAGGCTTAGGAGTATCAACATTTATGGAGGAAAGAGATAGAGAAAGTTTTTGCTTCAACCATATTTTGTAGTCTTTCATGCCACAGAAGAAAGAAAAATAAAATAAAATAAAAACCAACTATGTAAGTATCTATGAGATGGTTCAATAGGTAAATATACAGACCAGCAAAACTGACAACCTGACATTGATTCCCAGACCCACACCGTGAATGGAAAGGACTCCAGCAAGTTGTCTTCTGACATACATATGCATATTGTTGCCCACGTGCATTAATACACACACACACACACACACACACACACACACACACACACACACACACTACTTCAATGACAATGTATCACAGTTTCACATCTGGTGAAAGCATATTTCTTTTACCCTCTACTTCAATAGGCTTTTTGAACAGGCCCACCATTCCTTCAATATGCTGAAAATGTAATAAACTATCTAGAATATTACTTCTATGTATCTCTTAACGTTGAATGAGAGAAGATACCAGGGGGGAATTTATAAAAATGTTTGGAGGACAAATAATTTACTATTTTTTAATGTAGCTTGAGACTTTACTAAATTAACTGATGTTCTTTCTATTTTAGAATCTGGTGAATTGGAGCCTACATGTGTCCAGTGTAAAGATGGTTACACAGGACAGAACTGCAATCAATGTGAAAATGGCTATTACAATTCTGACAGCATCTGCACACGGTGCGAATGTCATGGCCATGTGGACCCAACTACAACTCCAAAGATTTGTAAACCTGAGAGTGGTGAGTGCATCAATTGTGTCCATAACACCACTGGGTTCCAGTGTGAGAACTGTCTAGAAGGCTATGTTCGAGACCACCAGAAAAACTGCATCAAGCAAGGTAAAACTCTTCCTAAGATTACACATTTAATGTCTTATTGCCAGCATTGAATGTTTATAGACAGCTGCCATTAGCTTTGTAAACCTTCTGGTCCCACCAGAGGAGTTTCTAGAATTAAATTTTGATAGGTATTTGGCTAAAAAGGTTTCTTTCCCTTTCTGGTTATCTCCTGAGCATCAACTCTAGAAATATGAAAACTAAGACAAGATTGGTGCGACAGTGAGACAGAGTGTGCTCATCCCTTCTGTCTGTCTGTTATACATGAAAGATCCTGTCAGTTCTTTTCCTTTGCTTCTTGATGTATCATTTCCATGATCATCAAAGGCCTTTCCAGGGAGGGACCTATAGTCTGCTTAGAAGTTGCATCTGGGAAACTGGAGTTCATTCTAGCTTCTTCACACTTTGGGCTGACATTGAGGTAGATGAAATCCTATTAATATTCCCTTTGATTTTTACAAGAAAAAGCCATTCATACAATAGAATGTTTTTTGTAAAGGAATTCAGTGAGGATTTAGAGGGGTTAAGTCAGGAATTCAGGAGGAGCTAGGGATATTTAGGGATTATTAGACCCTGTTCTTGTACAACTACTCCTTGTGGTATTCTAATGCACACTGATTACTGAGCTGAGGTAGAGTTGGTCTGTGGCCTCTGGCATTTTTCTCCCATGTTCTTGATATTCATACTACAGTGGTCCGATTGAGCCACATCACTAGCTAGAAATGCTGTAACTCTGTATTCCACCATGTGGGAGGCATACCTTGTCCAGACCAACGAGTACCAAGAGGACTGATGGTTTTTGTTAGCCATGAAGGAATCCAAACTTTGCCTGTTTTTAGGTTATTGATGTAGTAGACTGTGGTGATAAGTAATAATAGTTATTTTTTATAATAATTTTATTGAGTACCTATAATGTTCATTGAAGTCTTCCCAAGAACTCTGTGAAACAGACATTTTTACCCATGTTTAACAGATGAAAAATGTACAATTCTAAGAGATTGACTTACCTGTTGCAATACATTCCTGACCTGGTCCAAAGCTGCCATTCTTCCATTGAGTTAAGCTGTTGAGTAGAAGTCTAAAATGTAGTTCCTTGATTATAAAGCAGTCCAAATACACACAAAGTGAGAACTTGACATGTGGGATTCAAGGAAAACTCTTTTCTCTTTTGGCTGACATCAACTCTGATATCAAAAATAATTCCTTTTTTTTTTTTTGGCAGGGGGAATAGATTTTTATACTTCCTTTGAGGAGAATTTTATCTTCATGAAATGCCATCAGATATATCGGATATATTTTAGGTCAAATAATTGTCATTTTTAACCATGCAATTTAGAACTTGGTGGTGACACATTTACTGCCTTTATAGAAATGTCTGTGATTATCAGTGAATAAGGAGGGAATGAAAACTCCTATGTTAGAATTTCCTAAAGTTTCAGTATGGGTGTTATACACATTGGAGAACAAACCTAGCTGTAATAAGTGAGCTTTCCAGACCCCATATTTTATCATTATATTTATTTAAAAATTATTTTTAACTTACATTACCCTAAGCAGAATCCCATGTCAACATCCCACATCAACTTCCACTATCATGTGTATTTCTTTTATTGTTTCTCAAAACTAGATAATTTTGTCTTTTACATTTCATTCTCTGTTTTTATTTTCAGAAGTTATTGTTCCAACTCCTGAAGGTTCTACCATTTTGGTTTCCAATGCCTCTTTGACCACATCAGTGCCCACCCTTGTTATAAATAGTACATTTGCCCCCACAACCCTGCAGACTATCTTTTCAGTAAGCTCTTCTGAAAACAGCACCTCAGCTCTCGCTGATGTATCATGGACCCAGTTTAACATCATCATTTTGACAGTTATCATCATTGTGGTAGTGCTGCTAATGGGATTCGTAGGAGCTGTGTATATGTACAGAGAGTACCAAAACCGGAAACTCAATGCTCCCTTTTGGACCATCGAGCTGAAAGAAGACAATATCAGTTTCAGCAGCTACCATGACAGCATCCCCAATGCAGATGTGTCAGGATTGTTGGAGGACGATGGCAATGAAGTGGCTCCCAATGGGCAGCTGACCCTGACGACACCTATTCATAACTACAAAGCTTGAGGAGCTGAGCTGTCCTCCTGGATTGTCAGAACACAGTGCTCACTAAAATGCATCTGCCCTCCAGCCACACATAGCCTGGGTAGAGTTTGCTGAGAAAGGCCTCGTGCAAATGAACTGTTCAGGTACAAACTGCAATGCGCTTAGCCTATCTGTTGCTCTTAATTCCCCATGAAGATCTGAAGCACTCATCATCATTGAGGACATGAAGTAAAGTATATTTTTGTAGCAAACCACATGAGTGTATGGAAAGGCTTAATCCCACACAGTAGTCCAAGTCTACCCAGCCTCTCAAAGGACTGCTGGGAAAGTGTTCATCTCACCAGCCATGACAGAATGTTGATGTGGAGGGGGAAGACTGATAGAAGACTTCATCTCCATTTTGGGAACACATTTTTTGAAGGAGAGGCAGGGATTATGTTCTTTTTTTCTGTACTAAAAGATATAACTGAGGAAGAGCTGGTGTCTAGGCTATACCACACTAAACAATCTTGGCTCTGTGTAAACTATGGGCAGAAAAGTCCCAAGAGGATCTGTAGAAGGGCTTGGCTTTCCTCCCGTGAGTCTCCTTCAAGGATGGGATTGAAGCACAGGATAAGCCTCTGTGGTGAGGGCAGGCACAGCACCCAGAGAGCAGAAAGTTGATGGTCCTCCTCAGGGGTGGTTCCTGCCTCTAAAGAAACAAGGTGTACATAGTTAATGTAGCATACCTGCTCAACATTGTACTTGTATCTATTTGTAAAAAAAAAAATCATGTCCTATTTTATCATTTAGACTTTATTTGTATAGCAGTTAATCGTGTTGTAAAAAGAAGATATGGAAATTGGTGAAAATACTGTAAATTAGGTGGCAATATTGCTAGAGCTGGGACTCTGGTGAGCATCATTCATTTTTAGTCCCTATTTGGACACTTGAAATTTATAAGAGGTCAAATGTTTCTAATCTTTCCTCCCTCAACTTAGAGTCATATGCTTTTTGACCTACCATAGATTCAAGCAATAGATGTTAAATCTGTAATTGTTAAGCTGGGTCACAGGCTGCATTCTCTAGACACTCACCTAATTAGCCACTCTGTGTGTTTTACATTGCTCGGTGTAAACATCCTCAGAAAAAGACTTCTTTCCTGAATGTAAAAGACAGTCTTCCAAAGGATAGAAATTTTAAATTAAAAAAGAAAAGCCATCACATTACTTGGGGCCCCTCATTTTTATGCCCATGAAATATTTATGTACTTCCCATAACTTCCAAAATAAAGACCTCTGACATTTGAACATAACCTATCACCCGTGAATCATGAGGTGTGTTTGACTCCTTCAGTGCTAGAATTCATCCATCTTCTTGTCTGGGCAGGGATTACTCTGATTGAGTGTGCATTTAGTCCTTGCTTTCTGATGCCATTTTCCCCTGAGGCCAAGTACTGCTTCTTTCATCTGTTATGCATCGACAGTTTTGTGGATGAAACAAGCCAAGAAAGGTGGCCCAGACTATGAAGTGGTTAGGGAAAAACAAAACAAAGACTAGACCTAGGAAACTCAGACTTAACTTCCTCAGAGAGAAAAACATACAGTTTGTTCATCCTCTGTAGGAGACCCCCACCTTTTTCTCAGGGTTTGGAAATGACTGTAGACTAGAGGATCCGTAGGAAACCTGAGGGTGCTCTGCATATGTGGCTGTCTTTATTAAAGTAAACATTGCATCTCATTGTACTGAAACAGTTTACAAGTGGCTGATTGCTTGCCTACCATAGGAATCTATCGGTTTAATCCTCAGAATTACAGAATAGACCAGTGTTTTTATTGTCCTTTGTCATTTACAAAACACTTTTCTGTGTGTGTTCTTTGATCCTCACCATAGCCTCCTAAGGAAGCAGTCTTGTACCCATTTTATACATGAAGAAACTGAGGCATAAAGAAGCTAAATCATTCAGGGATATACAATGCACATCATTTTTATGCTTGGAATCAATTCTCACGTCTACAGCATAGTCATTTGGCTATATGATAACATATAAAACTACTAGCCATGGGCCCTAGAAGGCTGGAATGAAGATTCACATTTGTGGATGCTTCTAATAGAACCCTTGTGTGCTCCCAAGTGTGCTTCCCCATCCCGTGTGCATGTGTGTGTGTGTGTGTGTGTGTGTGTGTGTGTGTGTGTGTGTGTGTGTGTGTGAGAGAGAGAGAGAGAGAGAGAGAGAGAGAGAGAGAGAGAGAGAGAGAGAGAGAGAGAGAGAGAGAGAGAGAGAGAGAGATGTATGTGATTTGCAGGCACAATTCAGGGCTACATAGCTACAAATGACTTTGTGGAAAGAACACATGAGAATTTCTATGTAAAGTCAGAATTAATGATGAAAAGGCAAAACTGCCAGTTAGAGTTCATTAAAATGAATAAATTCCTGTAGTAGGGGGTGCGTTCCCTAGCAGTTGCAGCACAGGTGTGTGGTGACTGTGCACCACACAATTCCAAGCATTGTGCACAGTGATTGCCTCCCTGATACCCTATCTCCTGCCAAAAATAAAAGGTAAGGAGATAAAAAGCAAACATTTGTTAAACAAATGTTTACCCAATAAATAAATGAAGCGTGTTTGTAGGAGTCTCAAAGCCAGTCAAATAGTCAAAATTCTGGCTGAATAGAGATTCCTTGAAACAGATCTTCAAAGATAACACAGAAATTAAATCACAAATTATGTTTATCAAGTATGGCTCCTAGGTCATACTAATTTTTCACAATGATGAAAAAGTATAGCCTTAAAATGTGTTTTAAATAACATTAGTGACCACAGAACTCTGCTTATAGAAATAATTTTGCTCTAAAGATCAACCATGAGGCAATCTCCTTTTGAAATTAGAGTAGAAAACCATTGTAAAACACAATGCAGGGTTTTCAGTCTCTGGAGGCATCACCATCCAGCGCCAGGCATTTCTGAAAAGTCTAATGTATGAACAATTTTTGTCTAATTATTGATAACATGTTCTTTTTAAAATTCAATACCTATGTGAATCTTACTGAGAAGTAGTCATCACTTGCTATGAATAAACTGATGCTTGCTCACATCTTCATTAACTCACCTTAGTAAGCCCTATGCATTTCTGATGATGGATGTTATAGTCAGTGTCCAGCAGGTCTTTGATTACTACCAACCTCCACACTGCTTCTCCGGGCTCTCTTATCTACAGTCTTTCCCGTTATAGAAAAGGCAAAAGGATAGTATAATCTCTTATTTATTTCAACATCCTGAGTGCATTTTTTTCCAGGAATACTTGGATTTTAAGAGAGGACAACAGGGCAGACATGGGCTGGGAGGATAGGGGTTTTGTCTTGTTTTTTGTTTTGTTTTGTTTTTCTTAACAAGATTATCTAAGTCTCAAGTGATATCGCTATACTCTAGTTCCAATATTCCCAGAACCATTAATCATCAAAGCAATACTCACTGACCTCCCAGTTAATCTGGGTTATTTGATCATCAAGATGTGTTTTGGAAGATGAGAGACAATTGGAGCTTGATTATTGATCTTTCACCATGGTCCTGTACTTTTTAATTTTTTTTATGCTTGTAAACATAAGGTTGGTTCTAATGACTGTCCCTGGCTTCTTATATTTTGAAGTAGTATGTGGGCAGGAGTTGAATTTCTGTATTTCTCAAGGAAAACTCTCTGACAAAATATTCAGAATAAGTTCAAAGAACCCATGCAATCATTAGGGCAACAGAAGTCTTTGTGACCTCATCCATACACACACACACACACACACACACACACACACACACACATACACACACACACATACACACACACACACACACACACACACACACACACACACACACACACACAAAGAAAAAAACCCTTTAGTCTGTTGCTCTTTTGACAGCAAGTAGTTTTGGAGTTGAAATGGGTTTGGTGTCTATGTTCAGGGCTGTGGGAGGTGATGGAAGGTTAATTCATCTTTCTCTTTCACTCTGAGCCATTGGCTGAGCCATGGGGAGAAGCAAGAAAAATGGTTATTAATTTGTAGAAGTCAAATACTATCAAATGGCTAAAGGTTATGGATCACTAAAATGTCAGTGGTTTGAATGATAATTTTTGAAAGGCATTGGGGATCTTCTTTGTTCCTTGTGCACCTGTAGAAACTGCAGCAGCCCTGGAGTGAGCCCAGAGCTTCAGATTCAAGCTAGCCCAAAGCTAAGTGACTTCTAGTCAACTTTTAATGCTAGGCATAAGCACTCTGTACTCTTAAATTTCAGCCCAATCAATTAGGGAATGTTTCTAAAACATTAAATTTGTATTTATGTCACTAAAATCCTAACGCAAAATTTAAAAACATGTCTCATATGTGTACTGTACTAGGTTTCATGATGCATTTCTAAATTTGTGTATGATTTGAATATATGAGAGAATTTATACAAGAGTGTTATTTAAAATTATTAATAAATGTATATAATTTGTACCTATTGTAGATTTGTTTCACTTTTTTATGTAGTGAGAGATTTTAGAAGTCTTCAGGTAAGTGCTAAAGATCACTTGTCGCCAGGCGGTGGTGGCTCACGCCTTTAATCCCAGCACTCGGGAGGCAGAGGCAGGTGGATCTCTGTGAGTTCGAGGCCAGCCTGGACTGCCAAGTGAGTTCCAGGAAAGTCGCAAAGCTACACAGAGAAACCCTGTCTCCAAAAACCAAAAAAAAAAAAAAAAAAAAGATCACTTGTCAGCTCACTTCATGTACTTTGAATCCTTCATGTACTGACCAACATCTTGTTTAGGTTCATTAAAGGAGTGTCTACCCCTTGGGGAGAAGATATCACATAGGACAATTCCTTCTCATAAAATAAATTCATACTGGAGGTGAAAATATGTATTATAATATATTATTGGGGGTTGGAGAGTTGGCTCAGAGGTTAAAAGCAATGGCTGCTCTTTCAGAGGTCCTGCGTTCAACTCCCAGCAACCACATGGTGGCTCACAACCATCTGTAATGAGATCTGGTGCCCTCTTCTGGCCTGCAGGGATATATGTAGGCAGAACACTGTATACATAATGAATAAATAAATCATATATATATATATATACACATATATATATATAATTAGGGTAGGGATATGGCTTAGTTTTAGGGCTCTTGCATATCATGCACAAGGCTCCAGGTTCCATCCTCAGCACTTCAAATAAACAAAGAATAGCATGTATTTTTGTTCATACTGTTTCTGTCTGCCTTTCACTGGGATTTCTATCAAAATTGTGTTGAGACTGACGCCCTTTGAGTTTCTGACTTACACATGTGAAGATTTTCTGAACTCTGGAAGTGAACACATTCTATGTTTATTAGGTAACCCCTAACAAGAGTGCATCTTTCTATTATTTCAAGGTTCCCTTGAAGAGGCTCTGTTTTGACAGTTAAACCATGTTTAGTGAAATACTGTCTGCTTATCCCATTAAACATCCAAGGGGTGTTTTGAAAAAGAGGCTACAAGAAGTCTGTCATTTCTTTGTACTGAGAACTTTATAACCTTGAATCAATTTATTCTACCTCAGCTGCTCATGATAGCTCACATCTGTGATCCCAGCACTTGGGAGGTGAAGGCAGGAGGATCAGGAGTTCAGGGTCATCCTGCCTCTATAGTGAATTCTAGTCCAGCTTAGGCTACATGAGACCACCTTAAAAAGAAATTATATTTCAGTTGATTACACTGGAATATGAAATTATAGTTTTCTGTCCTTAACTTTACAATCAAACCTTAAGTAGTTAATGGCGTATGTCTGTGTATGTATATAAATTGAGTATTTTAAGATAATAGAATAATTATGCCAGGAAACTAAACAAATTAAGCTTCAAGAGAAAAAATGTATACAAACTCAGCACACTAGGAATAATATCACTAAAACCATAAAGTATTTTTATGCTTCTGGTGAAAGTCTATAAAGACATCTCATCTCCACTGTATTATCACTGATTGTGTTAATTTTCTGCAGGAATGTAAGACATGTTCCAAAAAATCAAATGCTCTATTGTAACTAAACTTTGAAGGCAATTGTAAATAAAACAATTATAGTTAGCTTTGTCTTACTGATTTTTCTTATGGTGCTGGACATCAGGCCCTGGGCCTCATACATGCTAGACTTGCTTAGTTAGATCTTCAAAATTAAGCTAGGACTGGTGAGATGGCTCAGCTGGTAGAGGTGCTTATTGCACAAGCCTGGAGATGTGAGTTCAGTCACAGGACCCCAGTAAAGGTGGAAGAGAGAACTGATTCCACAGAGTTGTCTTCTGACTCCAACTGCATGTTGTAGCATATATAAGCACTCACTTATAATAAAAAAAAAATGTTTAATTAAAACCAAAATTTTTTACACAGGTTGACAGTGTTAGAAACGTGAACAACAGGCTGGAAAGCAAGCCTATGTCAATGTTACAATTAGTTTTACCTGTAAGTCAATTTTTTAGTTTTAAAAGCCATTTTATGAAAAAAAATTAAATATTTTTCAGATTTTCTAAAATTTCTATTTATAATGAAAGCCATTGGACAATGTTAAAGTTTGTTATTTGAGAATGCACTTGATTGTATTAATAATTATTTTCAAGCTCATGTGCCTAAGCTAGGGCTGGGGAGATGGTTCCATAAGTGTTTGCTGTACATGCATGAGGACTTGCGTTCAGGTCCCAGAATTCACATAAAGGGCCACGTATGGCAGTATATGTCTGTAATACCAGTGTTGTGGAATCAGAGACAGGCAGATACAGCCAAATCAGTGAGCTAGAGGATCAGTGAGAGACCCCATTTCAAAGAATAAAAAAACTGGTGGGGGACATCTGATACTAACCTCTGGGCCTCCGCACACACTCCCAAATACATATATGCACATGTGTCTGCATGCATCCTCAAATGCACACACACACACACACACACACACACACGCACATGCACATGCACACACACCAAAAACACCTGTGCGCTGCTCAATTGAGCACTGCAGTTCATACAGTTACAGAAAAAAAAGGCAGAATGTTTGCTGTGTATGCAATATCAAGTTTTTGTAATAAAATATTTGGGAGGAGAATTTTTGTAGTTTTCTTTGTGCTGTCAGATCAACTGCTAAAATCATGTGTCTTGATATTTTAATTTCCCAAATATGAAGTACTCTCAGCTCTTTCACATACTCATTACCATTCAGATTCTACCACTTTCCACGCATGTATAATTTCCTATATATATTCAGCTAATAGACTTTTTCCTTCACCATCCTGAGAATGTTCATTCTTCGAAGCCCTTTGGTAAAAAAAGCTTATCATTTCTTTCTTTCTTTCTTTCTTTCTTTCTTTCTTTCTTTCTTTCTTTCTTTCTTTTTCTTTCTTTCCTTCCTTCCTTCCTTCCTTCCTTCCTTCTTTCCTTTCTTCCTTCCTTCCTTCCTTCCTTCCTTCTTTCTTTCTTTTTTGGTTTTGTTGTTGTTATTTTTGAGACAGGGTTTCTCTGTGTAGCACTGGAAGTCACTCTGTATACTAGGCTAGCCCTGAACTCACAGAAATCTGCCTGCCTCTGCCTTCCTGAGTGGTGGGATTAAAGGTGGGCACCATCACCACCTGGCCTTATCATTACTTAATATTTGAAATGATATGAACACTTCTTGCTGCACATGTTACTGAAAAGGCCTTTCTGTTCCTGCCTTCCTCTGTAGACTTGTTTTCCTAACAACCAGGAACTTTTCTTCTATCTCTGGTGTCTGGCATATTGCTGATACTTCATGAACTCTTACTATGTGGTGGTTTAAAACAAATGGCACTTGATGATGCCAAGCAGAATTGGTTTATGAACTTACCAGGCAAAGTATGGTAATGTTACATGCCGTGGGTAGGATGCTAGAGTTCAGATAGGGTTTGTCTACCTAGGAATTCCTGTTCTGTCTTGACCCCCAGAATAGCAGTATGGAGGTGGTGCAATCTTTTAAGAGATGGTGCTCAGTGGGAAGTGACCAGGTTTTAAGAAGTACTGATGCTTTTGTCATGGAAGTGTGTGCTTCCTCTCACAGGGAGGTCCCAAGAGAGCACCTTGCTAGATGAGTCCTATCCTTTCTCTGTGTGTGCTGCTGGCTACTCTTGAATGTTCTCCCATCCATTTTAATGCCATCTACTGTGAGACCCTACCTAAAAGCAAGCAAATGCCAATCATGCTCTTGAGTTTCCTGAAATATGAGCTAAATAAAACATTTCTTTATAAAGGACTCTGCCTTGGGTATTTTATTACGGCAACGCAGATGGACCAAGAGAAGGACGGTATTTCTCTTTTCTCTTTTTTTAAGATTTTTTCTTTTTTATTAAATTTTTTCATTTATTTTACATACCAACCACAGTTTCCCCTCCCTCATCCCTTCCTGTTCCCTCACCTCACCTCCTGTCTACCCCCCCCCCATACACACACACCCATCCACTCCACCTCAGTTCAGAAAGGGGCAGGCCTCCCATGGGAGTCAGCAAAGCATGGCATATCAAGTTGAGGCAGGACCAAGCTCCTCTTTCTGCATCAAGGCTGAGTGAGGCATCCCAGCATCGGGAATAGGTTCCAAAAAGCCAGTTCATGCACCAAGGACAGGTCCTGATCCCACTGTTAGGGGCTTCACAAACAGACCATGCTACACAACTGTTACCCACTTGCAGAGGGCCTAGGTTGGTCCCATGCCAGCTCCCTAGCTGTCGATCCAGAGTCAATGAGCTTGAACGAGCTCAGGTCAGCTGTGGGTTCCCCCATCATGATCTTGACTCACCTTGCTTGTACAATTCCTCCTCCCTCTCTTCAAATGGACTCCCAGAGCTCAGCCCAGTGCTGGGCTTTGGATCTCTTCACTGCTTCCATCAGTTACTGGATGAAGGCTCTCTGATGACAATTAAGGTACTCACCAATCTGATTACAGGAGAAGGCCAATTCAGGCACCTTCTGTACTATTGCTAGGAGTCCTAGCTGGGATCATCCCTATGGATTCCTGGGAGTTTCCCTGGTACCAGGTTTCTCCCTAACCCCAAAATGGCTCCCTCTATCAAGACTCTCCCCCTCCATACCACCCCCAACTCAACCAACCTGATCCCTCATGTTCCCATCCCCTATCCCCTCACCTTCTCCCCCTCCCCCAGCCCCCAATTTACCCAGGAGATCTCATCTATTTCCCCTTCCCAGGGAAATCCATGCATCCCTCTTAGGGTCATCCTTGTTAGCTAGCTTCTCTGGGGCTGTGGATTGTAGTCTAGTTATCCTTTTCTTTACATCTAATATCCACCTATGAGTGAGTACATACCATGTTTTTCTGGAGAAGGACAATATTTCTTATGCAATAGAGATATCAACATACAGGCTTCAGAGTTTGAAAAAATCCTTCAAATTGTTATAGATCTAGTCTTTTGTTTGTTTGCTTTTTGGGTTTTTTCCTCATGCAAATTATGTTTAATTGTACTCTTAAAAGGATTGACAG